TGACCTTCCAGCACGAAAGCCGCATTGGTAGTAGCATAGAAGGTAGTAGCTTTCCGAATATGGTTAGAGTCTCTTTAGCAAGATAATTGATAGCACTTTTTATGATCTGCTAATAAGCAATATGCCTCTATAGTTTCGGAATTTTTCTTCGTTTCCTTTCTTATGTATGGGAATTATAATACTTCCATTCCATTCTCTAGGCATTTTCTGTTGTTGCCATACTGTCAGAATGATGTCATACAATTTTTGGTGTAAAAGGTTTCCTCCTTATTTTAACAACTCAATTTTTGCCATTATCGCATTTTCTTCTTGCATCCCTTTATTTACACTAAATTGCTCTGTCTCTTCTCTTTGTGCCTTTATGCTAATTTTTGTAGTTCACATTGTCATTTTTATTAATTTTCTAAGTATTTATGGAATTTGTAATTTTTTAAGTGCTATCATTATTCATTTCCTTTTAATTGAGTCAAATGCCAATTTGAAGTCTATCAATAGCATTTCCAATTCTAATTTCCAATAAAAAATCCATAGACTGCCGTATAAAAAACTTTGGAAAATTTAAGAATGGTCCTCTAATTGTTTTCCCCCTAGTATACTTGTATAAAAGAAAATAACGTTTGTCAAATTGAATAGACAGGGAACAATTTAATTTTCTATTATTCATCACAGAGTTCACAACGATGTTGCGTAATTTAATACACATTAGACTATTTTCCAATGTGTAGCAGAAATGGGGTTTAGGATAACCCAATTATCCGGAGCCAAATTCGAGGAGACATCAGAATAGGAGGTCCACACGCTCCTGACAGCATATGGCGTGTACGTGGCGCCGGAGACAATACAAGCTATCTTAGTGTCATTGTTTTGGATCCAGTTCTACTTTAATAAAACTTGTATTTCGTAATGGCATATAAATGTTCGGAATTTTCTGTATTCTAAAAGAATGCGAACATTTAAAATGGAGGATCGTAGATGAAGTCAGTAAAAAGAATTTAAATGTTGCACAGGAAAGCAAAAAAATATGGATTATTAGGATTCAATAAAATATGTCAAACCAGTTAATCGTTTAACAAAATTTGTATGTTCTTTTAATTGTATTAAAAGCGGCTTTAAAGAAAGTTACAAGAGTAATAAAAAATTAATAAATAAAAAAATTACAAGAGTAATAAAAAAAATTAAAAAATTGTTTCATACGAATACTAAACTGTTATTACAAAATATGTAAAAATGTAAATTATACAGTTTTTAGAATTTGAAAGCACATTAAAACTTATTTTTTAATACCACTTCCATACCTAAATTTCTCTTAACCTTCTACTACGGACGTGGTGCCCACATGGCCCCCGATTAAATTCAAATTACGCGCAATCTTTTATTTTTGTTGGTATATAGGTTTGTGACTCGCAGCTTCAAGTTACAGTGACGTCGATCGCTTCACTTATTGATAAGTTTTTTAGTAGTGTGGTATTTAGTTTATAACTATCTAAAGTTTGAAAGGGGTCATCTTGGCACCACGTCAGTGTTTGTGAAAAATTTACGAAAATGGCAGGTTCACCAAAAACAGTACATCACGGTGATAAAAACTATGAAGAAACTCTGTTAGCATAGTATGACGATGAAGAAAGTGAGGTTAGCGATATGAAGTAAATGACATTGAAAGTAAGCATGATACAGATTCCGCGGTGACCACTCGATTCTAGTTAAAGAGTTAAACTTAGAAGTTAAAAATTGAGAGATATTAATCGAATATGGATTTAAAAATTTTATTTAAAAGTGATTAAAGAATTATTGAAGTGACGGTCTCGTTACAATTTTTGAAACAGAAATGGTCACCTTGATTAGAGGAGAGCGTTTCTTTCACCTTCACCATCGTTATTTAGTTCGAATACTTGGCAAAGGTACCCTTACCAGCTCCCTTAGGAGTAAGCCAACCCCCAGGCCGACACCTGAACCACACGATGAAGAAAATGTTGCTAACTTCTTCTCCTCATTAGTCTCATTATAAACTTGTACGCTTATTTATGAATTATACTATTTACTTACTTCCTAAATATATATAATATAAAAAGATATACTTAAAACATAATTACCCAAATATTTTCTTTCAATGCCTTTGTAATTGCTAAGCAAGTTTCCATTATTAAGTGCTGCAGAGTCTGAGAAGCAATGGCGCAAGTGAATTTCAGGTCTTCCAAATCTATCTACGAAAAATCCTTCGTAGGTATATTTTGGCCTAACCGAATCTCCAATGAAAATTTATGGAACCGCAATCAAGAAAATGTCATAAAACAAATAAGGTGAAGAAAATGGAGATGGCTGGGCCACACACTCCGTAGACCGCCAAATGACATTGCCAGGACAGCGCTGGATTGGAATCCCCAAGGCCGACGGAAAGTAGGCAGACCTAAGGGAACTTGGAGAAGGACAGTACTGGACGAAGGGAGAAAAATGGGAAAATCCTGGCTTGAAATCAAAGCACTAGCCAGAAATAGAGTTCGCTGGAGACACTTTGTGGAAGCCCTATGTTCCTCTTAGGAATCTTGGGACTATATATATATATATATATATCTATATATATATATATATATATATATATATATATATATATATATATATATATATATATATATAGGTAGCCCAGTGTGATAGACAATCTCTAAGTTGCTGGAATCGCATCACGCATATTTGTATTCTTCTATTCGATGTCGGAGAATATGGACTCTCTCTTAACATCCAAAAAATCAAATTCATGAAAAGTAACAAGAACAACAATACAAATGAAATACTAATAGTAGGCGACCAGCAGATTGAGAGAGTAGAAAGATATACTTACTTGGAAACGATAGTCACAGAAAATAACAATTATACTACAGAGATAAGAGTCAAAATTGAAAAAGCACGTGCTAATTAAATGCTATGTACACAGTGTACTCTACTATGGAGCTGAGTCATGGACATTAAACCGGAATACAATTAATTAAAGATATAGAAGATGAAATAGAGGATTGTTAAGGATTTCATGGGTAGATAGAGTCACGAATGCAGAAGTGTTAAGGATAATAGGCAGGGAGGGGGAAATGGAAAATACAATACAAGAAAGGACATTGCAATATCACAGACATGTAATGGGAGGTGAAAGATTCAACATCTTAAGACTCATAATTTAAGGAAAAATAGAGGATAGGAGAAGCGTACTAAGAAGACGCGTTTCCTGGTTAAATAACCTGAGAGAGTGGTTTGGTTGCAGCTCAAGGCAATTGTTCAGAGCAGCTGCCTCGAAGGTCAGAATAGCCATGATGATTGCCAACCTTCGTCGCGGTGATGGCATTTAAAGAAGAAGAAGTTTATTCATGGATGAAAGTCCACTCCTTGGACCACAATGGTTTTTTAATTTTTTTACGATCGAGGGTAATCAGTGTTAAGGCGAGAAAGCGAAAATCCGTATTTAAAATCATTGTTCATCAAAATTCAACAACAAGAACGAAAGACAAGCTCAGAACCAATGTGTGAACTATACGTCGAAAACTGATGAGAAGGTTTTTATAAAAATATTGAAAGAGCTAATTGTGGTTCATTGAAGCGCGCGTCAATCGATCGACTCCATCGTTTGATCAAGCAGATTGATCATCTAGGGCCTTCTTTATAATTTCCTGAATTAGAATTCGTTAAAAACGCCATTCGCCATTTAGGTTATATCGTTTTTCAAAAGACTGATATTTTTTTGTACACACTTATGACAAGTCGAAAGAAAATGCAAAAAAGTATTTTTGAAGTGTGTATATTTTAGGCAATTCCTAGCTGAGCGCTTTCGGCTTTACAAAGCCATCATCAGAGCTATGCTACAATAAAATGTTCTTATAAGTACTAATTGGTAAAGATTATAATTTTTAACTTACGTCAATTTTTTAAATACCACTACAAAAGATAGATCTCATTTCCTTAAATTTCAAAATTATGATTTTTTTAGTGTTGGAATTCTTAAAACATATAAAAAACATATAAAAAGCCGACACTGGACTTCACAAACACGTTAAAAAATTTAAAATTTTTTTTTTTTGTCATGGTACGGGTGTAAGTACCCGACCATTGATTGATGTGAGGAGGTAGACAGAATAGAACTAATGAAATCAAATGTCGGTCCTTTTAAACGATTTTTCAAAAGTGACAGTTGACAAATGTCATATATAGGAAATAGAGATTGTTTTTTAAATTCTATTGACTATTAGTAATTCCAAACTACTAAATAATTTTGTAAGAATTTAAAAAACAATCTCTATTTCCTATATATGACATTTGTCAACTGTCACTTTTGAAAAATCATTTAAAAGGACCGACATTTGATTTCATTAGTTCTATTCTGTCTACCTCCTCACATCAATCATTGGTCGGGTTCTTACACCCGTACCATGACAAAAAAAATTTTTCAATTTTTTAACGTGTTTGTGAAGTCCAGTGTCGGCTTTTTATATGTTTCTTATATGTTTTAAGAATTCCAACAACTAAAAAAATCATAATTTTGAAATTTAAGGAAATGAGATCTCTCATTTGTAGTGGTATTTAAAAAATTGACGTAAGTTAAAAATTATAATCTTTACCAATTAGTACTAATAAAAACATTTTATTGTAGCATAGCTCTGATGATGGCTTTGTAAAGCCGAAAGCGCTCAGCTAGGAATTGCCTAAAATATACACACTTCAAAAATACTTTTTTGCATTTTCTTTCGACTTATATCGTTTTTATTGAGCTTTTTATTTTGCCACAAGTATTATTGCTATATTTTCATAATTATATATAGCTTTTCTAAAAAAGTAACACAAAACTTTTTTTTCTATAATTAAAAAATGTTGTATTAAATTATATTCTGCATTTTATTGAAGTGAAATTGTCTAAATGTAATGAAATTGTCTGAAATTAGTAATTAAAAATATGTATTAAATATTAAATATCAACTAAAAATAATCTTCTAACTTTTTAATTTAAGTGTTTTTAAAATTCGCACTTATTTTAGCATATGCTCAAAAAGGATACGTGTAAATTGGGATTTGATACAAGTAGGGTTGAACTGCGAATGAGCAGTTTCCGCAGACTCATTTTCAGCATCTATGAAAACGATATTCACGATATCATTTCCGATATGCCGCTTCCTCTCCACTTGCTGCTTGTTGTCTCTCGAATATGGCAACAACGTCGATACGTGGAACATGATCTCGTGCCCCTCGTAGATCGTGTATACGGAAAATTTACCTGTCATATCACCTGAAACAAGAATATCTAATAATTATGGAACACACAAGAACTTGTGGTAAATAAGGGGTTAAATTTTTGTTTAGAAATATGCATATTTCAAAATAGTTAAGTCTGAATTTCTATCAGTTGGAATAGGTGTTCTTCAGGATCGATATTAGGTATAATTTTTTTCTCCTGAAATCGTATTTTTGAATTTAATCAAATTTTTTCGTATACGAGTTAACTCAAATAAAAAATTTCTTATACAAATCTGAATTTGTAATTTGGAATGTCCTTGGAAATGTTATATATATACGAGAAGAATTTGCAACGGCAATACTGCAAATTCGAACGACCAAAACTAATTAAAAAAAAAAGAGTGATTAAAAGTTTTACTTAACCTGTTTTATGATGATTTTGTCTAAAACAATTTTTCCTTAACTCGTTAACTGTTGTCTTGTCATCGCGTGCCTTAGTCTATGGACCAAGGAGCACATCGATGCGCATTGCCCTGCCTTTCTACCTCACATTCATTTAATATTGGCCGAGATATCCAAAAATGACATATAAATATTAAAACACTTTTAAATATGCGATCTTCGGATCTCGAGGCAGTCAAGCCTAGCTTTACTACGGTCCCCACGTAGGGTGTCCTACGCCTGGGGGCCTCCGTCACAAGGCTCTGCTCCTTCCTTGTCCTCAGACTCCTTTTGCTAGGACCCTTGTTCAACGACAAACCGAGTTTTATTTACCATCCCGTTAATTTAATATGGAAACGCAGATGCAACTTCGGATTGACTAACCGAAGCCCTCTGTAGAGCACCTAAAGAGCTGAAATTAAGTTATTTCTTATGCAGACCCTAACCTACCTATGGTGATACTCTTCTGAGGTTAGTTTTAGATGTTTTGCCAACACTAAGGGTTGTTACCTTCTCTAGATGTTACTGCTTCGCTTGTAAGCTAAAACTAACGCCGCGTTGTACTACGGAGGCCATATTTATACTTTCTACTTGCCTTCCCTCCACTCATATCGACATGAGGGAGCATGTCATCGTTTGTAGCTTTTTTTCTTTTTTTGTGATTTGCGGGAATGATGTTTGTGGATATAAATATTGGTATCCATGTTTTGTTAATTTTTAGTCCCTCTTCTATCCGAATAAAATTATTTGGATGCTCATATATTTCCACTGCTTTTCTATATAACCGTGGGTAGTACTGTAATGTTTTATTCAGCATCTGCGACTCTTCAAACAGTATCCGATGTTCTCAGCTTCCCAAAATGCGTTCGGCAACGGCGGATTTGTCAATATGTGCTAAACGAAAATGGCTTTTATGTTCGTTTATCATTGTATTTGTGTGTCCTTTCGTGGTTCCTACATATACCATTCCACTTATGCATGGTATTCGGTATACTCCGGCCGTTGCTAACGGGTCGAGTTTGTCCTTCACCGATTTTAAACAGTCCTCGATTTTCTTGATTGGCTTAAAGATGGTCTTTACATTGACTTTTTTAAGTATTCGCCCAATTCTGTCTGTTACCACCGATATACAGTGATGAGTGCCGTACCAACCGGCATTTTAACGTAAGAGATAGAAAACACAGTTACCTTGTGAAATAAAAAGAGATGAAACTCGTATAGGTGGGAAATAATCGATAGAAACCTATAATTTACATTACATTACATTACCACTATCGATAGTCTCACACTATCACAAATTAAGATATATTATAGTAAAAAACATTAATTAGTAGCGATTTTAAATTATAAATCTTTAAGTTTATTTAATAATAAAAATAACTCAACTGAAATATTTGACTAAAATAAAGGTAGGTATATTCTGCCCGAAAACAATGAATGTATGTGGAATTAGTGTAATCGTTAGAGAAGTGGTCTATTGACAAGAAGATTGGGATTTAATTCACACCAAGAATAAAGTTTTTGTTTTATCAATCAAAAAATAATAGAAAATATGATACATATTAGGTAACAAGTTTTCGAAAAACTCATTATATTCAATTTATTCTTATTCCAATATTATAAAACGGAAATACAAAATAATTCAAATTCAATTCCAGTTTTAATGTCTTCAGTTGCGAATGCAAAATAATCCAGTGAAGACTATTTATGTCAAATCCATCACTAAATTCTCATTGTTAATATCAATTCCTCTGTACAGATAATAATTTTCAAAACAATTGACAATTGTAAATACTTTTATTGACAATATTTTTTTTATTTTTGTAGAATTTTTACTTATTTAAACGTTCTTTTAATTTTGAAAAATTTTTACTTTATTTTCGAAAGTACGACGACACTTTTTTTAATAAGATATTTATGTTTAACTTTAAACACTTCTAATACTAGTAACGACTGACATAAATGTTCAAAAGCAAAACGATCTCTGCATAATTTCAAATTATTAAAAAAAAACACATGTGGGTTTTGAACTCTAATCGTCTGCATCGCAGTGTCGAATTCTTACCACTAATCCACGAAGGCTTGATAATTATTATGTGACAAGAGTGTATGAAACTCCTTAAATCATAGTAGAAATTATTCTTGCTTAATAATTTAAAACTTTAGATTAAATAATCACTATTAATTAAATTATTTTATTCACATTTTTTGCTTTATTGTGGTCAATCAGTTTTTACTTTATGCAAAATTAAAAAATGGAAATACGTCACACATACGTCAAACATAATAATTATGACCGAGATGATTTAGCTCGAAGCTAACGTCTAAAGGTGTGAGATTATCGATAGTGGTAATGTAATGTAATGTAAATTATAGGTTTCTATTGATTATTTCCCACCTCTACGAGTTTCATCTCTTTTTATTTCACAAGGTAACTGTGTTTTCTATCTCTTACGTTAAAAAGCCGGGTGGTAAGGCACTCATCACTGTATAGGGCAAGAACGCTTTGCCTATACATGCTGTTTCTTCGTCCTTTCTTCTAGAAACGTTGTTAATCGTTTTATGTATTTCTCTTTTGGTATAACCATTAGAGGTGAGCGCTTTTTCAATATGAAGAAGTTTACTTTGCAGATGCTGTGTTACAAATTCTCTTCTCTTCGCCCTTTCCGCCAGAGTTTTGATGATACCTTGTTTTTGACCTGTATGATGATTTGAGTTCCTGCTTAGGTATCTGTCCATATGTGTAGGTTTTCGATACACTTTAAGTCCTAAGTAACCTTCCTTTCGATTTACTTATACATCTAGGAGCGCTAGTTGTTGATCTTTAGTGTGTTTATATAAGACCATACCTTTGGCTCGTATGCTGACTCCATTACCCTCTTCTCTAGATGTTCCATGAAAAGGTTGGCTACGACCGGGATTAGTGGGCTTCCCATTGCTACTCCATCTACCTGTTCATAAATCTGGTCTTCCCACGAAAAGTAGGTGGCATAAATCTAAGACACCGAAAAATAACCTGAGTCACCAAGAGATCAGTGCCATAAAATCTTTAAACGCAAACGCAAAGATGTTGTTATTTTACCAGCAGACACGGGAAATGCCACCATCGTAATAAAGACAAGCGACTACAAAACAAAAATACAAATTCTTTTAGATCCTGCGGTATATAAAAGACTTAAAAACGATCCCATAGCAGTCACCATACGGAAAATCGATAGACTTATATAATCTTCGTTCATACCAGAGGATACAAGCCAAGAATATGCAACAGCCAAGCAGTCCCACCACCCTTGTATGGCTTGTAACATGATGTACCTCTAAGCCCTATTGTGAGCTTCATAGGGTCTCAGTCTTACAGCCTTGCTAAATATATGGCCAATAATTTACAACCGCACATAGGAAAAAACAATGCCTTTGTAAAAGACTTCGCTCATTTCATCAAGAAGATCAAAGGAATAACTATACAGGAACCTGACATTCTTGTTAGCCTTTAATATTGTTTCCCCATTTACAAGAGTTCCCCTAGAAGACGTTCCGAATTTAATTAAAGACTGGTTTGCAAAGATATGGTGGAATTATACCCTATTTGCCTCACTACCACATAAAAATTTCGTACGCCCGGTATTCCAAAATACAAAAAGTTGGATTTCGAGCGAATTTCTTCTAATTTCGTATGAAAAATATGCTCGAATGAATTCAAAAATACTACTCGTGTTATATGTATATGACTTACAAAACTCTATAATAAGATATTTTCGTACAATCTACTTGTTTAAAAATCTTAGTAAGGTCCTGACAGTTAAATAACTTAAATGATTTATTACGCACAAGCAGGCATCCGACTTCGCTTTGGACTATGTTTTTAGGGCACTTGTACCTGGATAATATTAAAAATGTTTACGTGAAAATAAGATCTATAACCGAAGTGTCTCATTTATATAAAGTTACTTTGTATTTGTTGATGCATATATATCTAAAAGAAGACATATGATAATGAATTAACAAATAAATTCAGAAACTTAGTATATTTATAAAAAAATACTTGTATTGTATAAACACAAAATACATTATTATCTGCAGTTTAATTAGTTGTTGAGGTTTACATAGTACATAGTCGTCCGTTTTGAATCAAAATCGATACGAGACTGCAGATTGTTTAGTTATGTAGAGAAGACACGGCTCACTGAAATCAAATACCGTTGTATCGACAGCTCGATATAGGTTTGAGTCAATATTAAGATTATGAGGATGGTATATTATGCAAATTGGATGCCAGGTAGGAGGTTGATAACAGATCAAGTTTTGAAGCTACTTGATATCACGTCAGATGTTGTATACAATTTTGCAAATAAGAACTTGTTAGAGAATAAAAGAAACTTTAAAGTACAGTGGTGCTAAAAATTCCTGCATCACCTTACCAAATAAATGAAAATATAAAAGTTTAAGACATTTACCTTAAATATTTTTTAACCATTTACTATCTACATCAAACAAGCACTTAAACACAATATTATAAAATGGAAACACAGCAAAAATTTTGATTAATAAAAAAAATGTAGTTCGGAAAGTTTTTATTCAATATTACAAAAATTAGACTATTTACACCAAGAC